GGGGGGGGAGAGAGAGAGAGAGAGAAGAAGAGGAGGCAGGGGAGGGAGGAAAAACATTTAGGCATTTATGCGGTTTTTTGGGGGTTTCTTACTTACTTCGGTGCTGTTGTTTGTTGGTATTCTAGGGTTTAGGGTTTAGGGTTTAGGGTTTAGGGTTTGTGTGCTGCAGATGTTATTTACGCCTAGCGGACAATTCAAGGGCAAGAGAAGCACTCAGACAGTGTCTTCCAGATGCCTTAAAGTAAGCAGCAGCAGCAGCAGCAGAAGCAGCAACAGCAGCAGCAACAGCAGCAGCAGCTGTGCAGCAGGAGCAGCAATAGTGTAGCAGCAGGAGCAGCAGTAGTGTAGTAGCACTAGCAGCAATAGTATAGGAACAGCAGCAGCAACACTGCAGCAGCAGCAGCAGGAGGAGCGGCAGATAATGCAGCAATTGCTGCTGTGTTGGTGTGTCTGCTGCTGCAACAGGAGCCCTGAGCTGCATGCAAGTCTTAAGGATGACCCTGCAACAAAGAAGTGGCTGCTGCAGCTGCTGCATGCAGTTGGTGATGCACAGCAGCAGCAGCAGCAGCAGCAAACTGCTGCTATGCCACCGTCCTAATGGATAGCCAATTGTAGCAGCAGCAGGAGCAGCAACAGCAGCTGCTCTCCTGCAGCAAATGCAGCACCTGCAACAGCAGCAGCAGTCGCAGCAGCAAATGCACCAGCAATACGACGCAGAGGATCCGTACACATACAGTCTAAGCTGCAGCAGCAGCAGCAAAAGTTGCTGCTGCTGCTGCTGCTGCCTTTCAGCAGCAATGCTGCTATTGGTGGCGCTGCTGCATTAAGAGTCTGCTGCTGCTGCTGCTGCTGTTGCAGCAGCAGCAGCAGCAGCAGCAGCAGCTACAAGAAACTTTTGAACAACGCAGCATCTATTTGTGCTGTGAAGCTCTTTTACCAGGGGTTTAGTAGGGCTAGGGTTTAGGGTTTAGGGTTTAGGGTTTACTGCTAGAGTTTAGGGTTTAGTCCGAGGGTTTAGGGTTTACTGCTAGAGTATAGGGTTTAGTCCGAGGGTCTAGGGTTTAGTCCTAGGGTTTAGGGTTTAGTCCGAGGGTCTAGGGTTTACTGCTAGGGTTTAGGGTTTAGTCCGAGGGTTTAGGGTTTGCGATGGAGCAACGCTAAGGCAGTATTTCTGCTACTGCTGCTGTTGCTGTTGCTACTACTGCTGCTGGTGCTGCTAGTGCTGCTGTTGCTGCTGCTGCTGCTGCTGCTGTTTAGGAAATGCATGACTATACAAGTTTAAAGAAATAATAAAAGTTATAAAGGAAAGATGCAGATAGCTGCTGCTGCAGCAGCAGCAGCAGCAGCAACAGCAGCAGCAGCAGCAGCAGCAAGGTCATCCATAGCGTTGCATTGGGGGTCCATCAGTGAGTTTTTGCTGCTGCTGCCTTTGCTGCTGCTGCTGCTGCTGCTCTGCTTCTTTTTTCTTATCTGCAGCAACAAGAGATTGCCATTGTTTCCCTAAATGATAAATAAATTGATTGTCTTTTATACCTGCACGAGTTAATGCCTGCAGCAGCAGCAGCAGCAGCAGCAGCAGCAGCAGCAACAGCAGCAGCAGCAGCAGCAAGAGCAGCAGAGTCAGAATTAGGGACAGAAGCAACAGCAACAAACGCAGCAGCAGCAACAGCAGCAGCAACACAAAAACATCACCAGACCCCTCATGAAAACCAGGAGCAGCAGCAGATGGATCAACAGCAGCAGCAGCAACAGCAGCAGCAACAGCAGCAACAGCAGAAGGAATAAAAATACTTGTGTAAGATTAATAACATCTTGTTTATTAATTAAATAAATATTATTAAGAAGAAAAGGAAGAAAAATTAAATAAAAAGATTTTTCCCTAAACCCTAAATAAGATAAACTACGCATGCAGCAGCAAATATCCTTTATATTAAACCTGCAGCAGCAGCAGCAGCAGCAGCAGCAGCAGCAGCAGCAACAGTAGCAGCAGCAACCGTAGCAGTAGCAGACATAATAAACACTCAGAAATAATAAACCCTAATAAACCCTTATAAACCCTAAACCCTAAACCCTCATAAACCCTAAACCCTAAACCCTCGTAAACCCTAAACCCTAAACCCTCGTAAACCCTAAACCCTAAACCCTAGACTTTTGAATAACAGCCCTGCAGACAAATCATACTACACCTGCTGCGATTGTTGCTGTTGCTGCTGCTGCTGTTGCTGCTGTTGCTGCTGCTGCTGCTGCTGCTTGTCTTACTCATAGACATGTGTGCATATGTAGGAAGCAATCTGTACAGCGAGGGAATCTTTGGTTGCTGCTGCTGTTGCTGCTGTAGGTGCAGCAAAAGGAGCAGCAGGAGCAGCAGGAGCAGCAGGAGCAGCAGGAGGAGGATTAAGGAACCATGGTAGCTGCTGCTGCTTAATTCTTCTTATATTAATAAAATATTTATTCCCTTTTTCTTTTGTTTTATAAGAAATTGCATGCAACAAAGAAAGAAGAAAAAAAGATAATAAAGAAGGACATAATATATTACTCCTTAGGTCCCCTGTTATCCTGCAGCAGCAGCAGCAGCAGCAGCAGCAGCAGCAGCAGAAGCATACATATTAGTAGCAGCAGCAGCAGCAGATATAGCAGCACAGACAAAGATATAGCAGCAGATGCAGCAGCAGATACAGCAGCAAAGAGAGCAGCAAAGATAGAAATAGCAGCACAGACAGCAGCAGCAGCAACAGCAACAGCAGCAACAGCAGCAGCAGCAGCAGCAGCAGCATACCTGTAAGTAAGAGTAGTAAGAAGAGAAGAATTAAATTCTTTCTTTAATTGACTACATAATAGGGAGACACCTATTACCTAAAAAAAATAAATAAATAAATAAATAAATAAATAAATAAATAAATAAATAAATAAATAAATAAATAAATAAATAATAAATACATAAATACATATATTTATATATAAATAAATAAAATAAGGGATAATACAAGGAGACTAAAAACGAGACAGTTATGGCTGCTGCTGCTGCTGCTGCAGTTGCTGCTGCTGCTGCTGCTGCTGCTGCTGCTGCTGCTGCTGCTGTACCTGTCTTGGATCAAATGTATTAATTACTTCTTTGCTGCTGCTTAGCTGCTGCAGCAGCGCAGCAGCAGCAGCAGGAACCTCAGGCCATGCATGGTGATACTTTAGCTGCAGCAGCAACAGCAGCAGAAACAGCAACAGCAGTAGCAATAAACTGCACAGCAGCAACAGCAGCAGCAGCAGCAACAGCAGCAGTAACAGCAGCAGCAGCAGCAGCAGCAGCAACAGCAGCAGCAGCAGCAGCAGCAGTTACCTTAAACAAGGCATCTAAAATCATTACTGCTTGACCAGTGGTGATCTGTGCTGCTGCTGCTGCTGCTGCTGCTGTTGCTGCTGCTGGTGCTGCTGCTGCTGCTGCTGCTTCTATTGTTGGCCCCTTTTGCTGCTGTTCTCTATGGAAGGTCTCTCCTACTGCTGCTGCTGCTTCAACAGCAGCAGCAGTTGCTGCTGGGTCTGCTGCAGCAGGTGCAGCAGGTGCAGCAGCAGCAGCAGCAGCAGAAGCAAATCCTTCTGTATGAAGAACTTCATAGATAGGAAGAGTAACAAGAGGCAGCACTTTGCTGCTGCTGCTGCTGCTGCTGCTGCAGCAAACAGCACTATCTGCATATACACCTAAACCTAATGAATAGTTGCGGTGTCTGTACAGCTCCCTCTGCATGCCCCCCGTGTTGCTGCTGCTGCAGCTAGCTGCATGCATAGATAATATCTGCTGCTGCTGCTGCAGTGTTGCTGTTGCTGCAAGTCTTGCTGCTTCATCTAAGAAGTCTTCTGCTGTCCTTAACTGCTGCTGCTGCTGCTGCTGCTGCTGTTGCTGCTGCTGCAGCAGCAGTTCAGGGGGCCGCAGCAGCAGCATGCGCTGCATATGCAGCACCTCTATAAGTATATCAGATTTTGCTGCTAATTGCTGTCTGTGCTGCTGCAGCAGCTGCTGCAGGAAGTGCAGCAGCAGGATCCGCTGCTGCATGCGTTGCTGCTGCAGTAGGTCTGCTTCTGTCAGCCCCAGCTGCTCCCGCTGCTGTTCCTGCTGCTGCTCCTCCTCCTTCTGCTCCTTTCGCTGCTCTTTCTGCTGCTGCTGCAGTTGCTGCTGCTTCTGCTGCAGTTGCTGCTGCTGCTGCTGCACCCGCAGCAGCATATGACGGCAAAAGGTCGTGTGTCTTATGCCTAGCTGCGCATACACCCCAAGTGTCTCCGTCTCCTCATAAGGAGACAGCAAGCCTAAGGCAGCAAAACAGTGCAGACGCCTGCAGCAGCAGCAGCAGCAGAAGCAGCAGCAGCAGCAGCAGCAAAAATATTAACAGCAACAGACACAGAGGCAAAGAGAGGAGGAGTCACAAAAAAAGCAGCAACAGCAGCAGCAACAGCAGCAGCAGCAGCAGCAAAACCAATCATAACCCCCATTGCTGCAGCAGCAACAGTAATGACCACCAACAACAGCAACAGCAGCAACAGCAGCAGCAGCAGCAGCACCAAGACATAATACCTCATTATATGCTGTAGATATTCTTGTTCAATGTCTGTTGAGGTGCCTATACACCGCAGCAGCAGCAGCAGCTGCTGCGGCTGTGCATGCAGCAGCAAATGACGATCAAAGGCGCAGCAGAAATTATTTACTTCCTTACCTACATCACCAACTCCTGCTGCTGCAGCAAGAGACAGTAACCTGCAGCAGCAGCAGCAGCAGTAGCAGCAGCAGCATCAACAGCAGCAGCAACAGCAGCAGCAGCAGCAGCAAGCAGCATAAAAATGTTTAACAGCAACAAACAGAATGACAACCAACTCTATACTGCCCTGGCTGCTGCTGCTGCTGCTGCTGCTGCTGCTACTGCTGCTGCTGCTACTGCTGCTGCTACTGCTGCTGCTGCTGCTGCTTACTCAACGCCAGAAATAAAATCAGCAAAGTGCGCAGTTTGCTGCAGCAGCAACTGCAGCAAGCTGCGGCCCCACACCCAATCAGCGCCTACTGCTGCTGCAGCACGCAGCAGCTGCAGCACACGTACACCCCCTACAGACACCTGCTGCAGCACATCCTCCCTGCTGCTGCTGCTGCTGCTGTTGCTATTGCTGCTGCTGCTGCTGCTGCTGCTGCTGCTGCTTGGTGCAGCTTGGGTCTGCTGCTGTGCGAGGGCTTCAATTTGCTGCCTGCAAGAGGCAGCAGCAGCTCTTAAGCTGCTGTCACCCTGCTGCTGCTGCTGCTTGTGGTGCTGCTGCTGCTGCTTGTGCTGCTGCTGCTGCTGCTGCATGCGTGCCTCAGCAGCAGCAAAGATGCAACGCCATGCCTTGATGCTGTTGTATCCTTTTGCTGCAAAACAATCAGCAACAGCTAAGATTGCTGCTGCATCAGCTAGAGCAAGAAATCCTTTGCTGCTGCTGCTGCTGCTGCTGCTGCTGCTGCTGCTGCCGGCCTCGGAGCCGAGCAACAAACAGCCGTACCACTGCCACAAGTCCTCTGTTCCTCCTTTGCTGCTGCTGCTGCTGCACAACGGTAGCAGCAACTCTGCTGCAGCAGCAGAAGCTTGAATACAACGAGATACTTCAGCAGCAGACATGCGGCTGCTGCTGCTGCTGCTGCTTGCTGCAACTGGAAGCAGCAGCTGTACTACAGCAGCAGCTGCTGCAGCAACACCAGGAACTTTGCCCTCCAACAAACGAAGAGGGACGCGCAAAGATGTAGGTGCAGCAGCAGCAGCAGCACCAGATGTTGCTGCTGCTGCTGCTGTTGCTGCCGGTGTTGCTGCTGCTGCTGCTGTTGAGTAGAGGCGCTCATAGCATCTGTGTGGGGTCACACTGTGCTGCAGCAAGAACGCTTGCTGCTTCTGCTGCAGCAGCAGATGTTGGTGGTGCTGCTGTAGTAACTCCTGTTGCTGCAACAGCAGCTGCTGCTGTTGCTGCTGTTGCTGCAGGCGCATGCCTAGCCCAAGCCTGGGTGGCGGGTGCAGCCTTCTTGGCCTGCAGCAAGAAGCACTGAGGGGCATCATCTATAGCAGCAACAGCAGCAGCAGCAACACAGCATGAGTACTAGTAGTAACAGCAGCAGCAGTTGCAGCAGCAGCAGCAGCAGCAGCACAACCTTCCGATTGTCTTCAGCTGCTGGTGTTGTTGTTACTGCTGCTGTTGCTGTTGTTGTTGCTGCTACTGTTGCTTCTACTGTTGTTGCTGCTGCTGCTGCTGCTTAGAGATTAGCGCTGTGGGTACCAAGTCGATACCGCAAGACTCGACTGCTCCTGCTGCAGCAGCAGGAGCAGCAGCTGCTGCTGTTGTTGTTGTTGCTGCTGCTCCTTCCTTAGGCTTATAAACAACAAAAAAAAGGAAATATACAAATACAATTAAAAGTACATTAAAGGATTTTAGCAGCAGCAGCAGCAGCAGCCCACCGTTGCTGCTGCTGCTGTTGCTGCTGCATGCAGCCGCCGCCGACAGTCGGCAGTGCCAGATGCATGCATGCATGGAGGAGCAGCAGCAGCAGCAACAGCAGCAACAGCAGCAGCAGCAGTTCTTCTTCATTACTCCTCTTAACTCGATTTTGCTGCTGCTAGATGCTGCAGCAACAGCAGATTTCCTATGCCGTGGGTGGGGGGCTTGCAGGCATGTAGCTGCAGCAGCAGCAGCAGCAGCAGAAGCAGCAGCAGCAAGTTGAGGGGCAACGGCAGCAGCTAGTATACCAGAAAGTGATGCTGTTAAGATACAGACACGTATGGAACGCTGCTGGGGTTTCCGGCTGCTGCTGCTGCTGCTGCTGCATGTGCTGCTGCTGCAGCTCCTGCTGCAGCCATGTACATGCTGGATAGCAGCACGGCCACCCCCTGGAGCAGCAGCAACAGCAGCAGCACCATCCCCACGTCATGCTGCTGCTGCTTCCTCTTTCTTCTTCTCCCCCATAAGGAGCTTTGACGCAGCAGCAGGATCAGCAGCAGGATCAGCAGCAGGATCAGCAGCAGCAGCAGCAGCATATAATCCATATCAGCGGGCTATACAGCAGCAGCTCAAACAGCAGCAGCAGCAACCGCAGCAGCAGCAGCAGCAGCAGCAAATAGGCGTTGCTGCTCTCTGCATGCGTTTTTACAAGGCTGCAGCAATTCGAGCTCTTTCTATCCCAGAGATAGAGAGGGTTAGCACACACATACTTGCTGCTGCTGCTGCTGCTGCTGCTGCTGCTGCTGTTGTTGTTGCTGTTGTTGTTGTTGTTGCTGCTGCTGCTGTTATTGTTGCTGCTGCTGCTGTTGCTGTCGTTGCTGGGGCTGTATCTGTTTGCTGCCTGCTGCATTTTTAGCTCGAGGTGCGTAGCTCTAGTCTGTATCCCCATCCCCATCCTCATCCCCTTTTGTTGCTGCTGCTGTTGCTGTTGCTGCTGCTGCTGCTGCTGCTGCTGCTGCTGCTGCTGCAGGAGGTGCTATCTGCTCGTCAATCTGTTGCGCAGCTGCGGCTGCTGCGGCGTGGAGGCTTAGCATCGAAGCAGCAGCTGCTGCACCGCCGCCGTTTGCTGCGGCAGCTGCTGACTATAAGAACAGAGAGGGAAGGGAATTCAGGGAGGCAGGAGCTGCGGCAGCAGCAGCAGCTGCTGCAGCAGCAGCAGCAGCAGCAATATCTGCACCAAGCTATACAACTGCAGCAAACTCTTAGGGAAAAAATGACGCCAGATATGCAGCAGCAAATGGAGAAACTGCAGCAGCAACTGCAGCAGCAACACGAGGACTTGCTGCAGTGGCAGCAGCAGCAGCAGCAATATAGAGAAATCGCGAAGGGGAAGCAGCAGCAGCAGCAAGACAAGCAGCAGCAATCACTGCAGCAATCTAGACAAGCAATAGCAGCAAATGCTGCACAGCCTCTATGATCTGTTTTGTCGGCTGCTGCAGCTGCTGCTGCTGCAGTAGCTGCTGCAGCTGCTGGAGCTGCTGTTGCTGCAGCAGCTGCTCCTATATCGGTGCTGCTGTAGGGTCTCTCGTGATGTAGCAGCAGCAGTGCAGCAGCAGCAGCAGCAACAGCAGCAACAACAGGCGGAAAGGTTAAGGCTCCCTGTGTAATACAGGCTAGTCTGTGCATGCTGCAGCAGCACTTGCTGCAGCAGCACCTGCTGCAGCAGCAAATGCTGCAGCAAAAGCTTGTTGCAGCAAACCTTGCTGCAGCAAAAGTTGCTGCAGCAGCATTCTGCTGCAGCAAAATCTATTACTAAATCTATTGCAGCAAAACTTGCTGCAGCAGCACTTGCTGCAGCAGAACGTACTGCAGCAATACGTGCTGCAGCAGCATTTGCTGCAGCAACACTTGCTGCAGCAACACTTGCTGCAGCAATACTTGCTGCAGCAAGAGTTCGTGTATCTAAGACAGCAGCAGGCGTTTGTTAAATAAGCATCTGCTGTTGCTATCGTGTCTTCTGCTGCTGTTGCTGCTGCTGCAGCAGCTGCAGCAGGAACTGCTGCTTGTCTTTGCTGCTGCTGAGGGCTGCCCACCTCCAGGTGTCAACAGCAACAAACGAATTGCTGCAGTGCAGCAGCAAATGCCTTTTTAATGCTGTTAGTGCTGTTAGACCATATTGCTGCTGCTGCTGCTGCTGCTGCTGCTGTTGCTGTTGCTGCTGTCGTCGCTGCTGCCGCTGCTGCTGCTGCTGCGCTTCGGGGCAGCGCCAAACGAAATGCAGCGGGCCGTCTGCTTCTACTGCTAGCTGTTGATACTTCTGCTGCTGCTGCTGCTGCTGCTGTTTCTTCTGCTGCTGTTGCTGCTGCTGCTGCAGCAGCATGTCTAGCAGCAAACCGTCTTCTGTCCATGCCTCGTTACTATGAGGTATCTTCAGTGCATGCAAAGCAGCGCTCACCTCCTGCAGCAGCAGCAGCAGCGAGAGCAGTATAAGAGGCCGCAGCAGCACATACTATGCAACAAAAAGGATCAGTAAGTGCAACAACAGCAGCAACCACATGCGCAGCAGCAGCAGGAACAGCAGCAGGAACAGCAGCAGCAGCAGGAACAGCAGCAGGAACAGCAGCAGCAGCAGCAACATACCTTGTGCAAAGCAGACAGTTGGTGGCTGCTGTCTCCTTCTAGTAACGATGCCCTTCGCAGCAGCAGCCGCCAGTCTGCTGCAGCAAACAATTTGCTGCAGCAGGAAGGAGCAATGGGAGCAGCAGCGCTCTGCAGCAGGCCCTCTTCCTGCTGCTGCTGCTGCTTCTTCTTCTTCTGCTGCTGCTGCTTCTGCTGCTGCTGCTGTTTTTCTCCGTTGTCCCCTTGCCCTTCGGCAGGACCGCAATGAAGTAAACGAATCTGCAGCAGAGCAGCAGCAGCAAATGCAACAGCAGCAGCACGTGCAGCAGCAGCAGCAGCGGCAGCAGCAAGCGCAACACCAACTGCAGCAAGCGAAGCAACACCAGCAGCATCAGCTGCAGCAGCAGCAGCAGCAGCAGTACCTTGTTAAGACAATCTAGCACACCCAATACGGAGACACCGCGGCCCTGCAGCTGCCTTAGTTCCTCCATTAGGGGATCTGCTGCTGCATGCGGTGCAGCAGCAGCAGCAGCACTTGCTGCTGCTGCTCCTGCTGTATGCAGCCGCTGCAGCAACGGTTCTGCTGCATCAATTGCCTCCTGCAGCAACGAACGGTAGGCTGCTGCTGACTCTGCATCCCACCCTCGGTAACCTTTCTGCTGCTGCTGCTGCTGCTGCTGCTCTGTTGCGTTGCTGGCAGCAAAGAGGCCGGTCAGCGCGAGCCGCAACACCCGGACGGTCTGAGGCAGCTGCATCATCATCTGCTGCTGCCTCTGCTGCTGATTCTGCTGTTGCTGCTGCTGTTGTTGCTGCTGCTGCAGCACTCCAGCGAGGCGTAGCGCAGCAGCAGCAACAGCAGCAAGACCAGGAGAAGCCTCTTGGCTGCATGCAGCATCCGACAGCAGCTGCAGCGGCGGCTTAAGTGCAGCAAACACTGCTGCTTGGGGCTCTGCTGTTGCTACTGCTGCCGCTGCTGCTGCTGCTGCGTGGTCAATGGCAGCAGCCAGCTGCAGCAGCAGCGGTTCGTGTGTTGCACGAGCCTGACGCAGCAAATGCAGGGTTTGCGCTGCTGCTGCTGCTATTCCTGTTGCTGCTGCTGCTGTGTCTGCGTCACGGGGTTTAGTCTGTTGCTGCTGTCTTGACAGCAGCGCAGCAAAACTTTCAGCTAAACCAGGCAGCAGCACCTGCACACAAATCACACAGCAGCAACACCAGCAGCAGCAGCAGCATTAAAGGAATACAGCAACAGCTAAGCAGCAGCAGCAGCAGCAGCTAAATGGCAGCAGCAACAAATTTTATTAGTACCTGAAAAATTTCGCGCTGCAGCTGGGCTTCTTCCTCTATTGCTGCATGCTGCTGCTGTTGCTGCTGCTGCTGCTGCTGCTGCAGCGACTGCCAGTGGAGGGCATCGAAGGCGCCTAGGCGGTTTGCTGCTGTCAGCAGCAGCAGCAGCACACCCAGACGTCTGGCAGCAACTGCAGCAGTAGTTTTCTTTCTGCAGCAGCAACGCACAAGAGCAGCAACAGCAAGAGCACAACAGATACAACAGCAGCAGCAGCAGAAACAGCAGCAGCAGCAGCAGCAACAGCAAGCAGGTGGCCTCTTACTTAGGTGCTGCTGCATGCGCCATTGAGAGAATAGCCTGCAGCAAATGCCGGCGTGCAGAAGTCAATTCATGGTCTAATTGCTGCTGCTGCTGCTGCTGCTTTTGCTGCTGCTGTTGTTGCTGCTGCTGTGTTTCTGCTGCCAGCAGCTCCGCAGCTAGCCAGAGGAGTACAGCGTCGTTGCCTAGGGATTTCGTTGCTGCTGTTGGTGTTGCTGCTGCTGCTGTTGCTGCTGTTGCTGCTGTTGCTGCTTCTGGCTCCTTAGACACTGTTTCGCTTTCCTTTGCAGCTTCCGTATCCTCAACAGCAGCAGCAGCAGCAGCCGTGCTGCTGCTGCTTATTAACCTAAGAGCAGCAGACAGCCGCGGGGCTGGTGGCCCCTCCCATAGACGGAGAGCGCGCTGCAAGCCAACCCATGCAGCAGCAGCAGCAGAAGCAGTTGCTGCTGCTGCTGCTGCAGTTGCAGCAGCAGACCTGACTGCCTTTGCTTCTGCCGTTGCTCCTGCTGCTGCTGCTGCTGCCGCTGCTGCCATTCCTGCAGCTCCTGATGGTGCTTCATGGCGTTGCTGCAGCAAGCCTGTGCTGCTTGCAGCAGCAGCAGCAGCACACCAATGTAGTGCATCTGCTGCTGCTACTGCTGCTGCTTGCTGCTGCAGCGCAAGTCTAGCTGCCTCCCACAGCTCTCCAGCTCCCTTTGCAGCAGCAGCAGCAGCAACAGCAGCAGCACCGTGGGGAGCTGCCAATTGGTTGATGCCCTCTTCTTCTGCTGCTGCTTCTGTTGCTGCAGCAGCAGCTGCTGCTGCTACTGCTTCTGCACCAGAAGGGCCGAGGAGCAAATCCTCTGCTGCAGCAGATAAGCAGCTGATTGCTGCATCGATGTCTTCTATAGCTTTATTTAGTTCTGCTGCTACTGCTGCTGCTGCTGTTGTTGCTGTTGTTCTTGTTGCAGCTGTTGTTGCTGTTGCTGCGGCTGCTGCGGCTATGGGCCGCAGCTTCTGGGCAGCAGCAAAGGCCTTTCCTAAGGGTGCAGCAGCAGAGACTGCAGCAACAGCAGGTATACGCATTGTGCTGCAGCAGGACCGCATCAGCGCTGCAGCTGCTGTCAGTGTCTTGCATGCGTCTGCTGCTGCTGCTGACTCTGTTGCAGGCCCAGCAGCAACTGCTGCTGCTGCTGCATGCAACGCTATTGCAGACGCTGCATGAGCAAGAGACAGCCGATGCCCCCACGGCAGCAGCAGAGAATATTCGCATGCAGCCCGCAGCAGCTTCGCTGCAGCAGCAAATATGCTGCTGCTCTCGGGAGACAACAGTTGCAATGGTGCACCAGCAGCAGCAGCAGCACCATTTGCTGCTGCTGCTGCTGTCCCCTGCTGAAGTAGCTGCGGCAACTCACGAAGCAGTGCTGCTGCTGTGTTGGCGAGGGCGGACGCATGCTGCTGCTCTTGCTGCTGCTGTTGCTGCTTCATTGCTGCAGTACTGCAGAGGCGCAGCAGCACTTGCCGAGCTGCTGCTGTTGCTGCTGCTGCTTGCTCCTGCTGCATGAAGGGGCGCAATCGCAGCAGCGCAGCAGCAGCAGCAGCCAGAGCTGCAGCAGACATCCCGTAACCGCCGTTCCATGCAGTGCGGTTGCTTGTTGCAGCAGCAGCAGCAGCAGCAGCAGCAGGCCCATCAGCATGCATATCCGTACCCTTTAATCGCTGCAGCAAATCTGTTATTGGAGACTGCAGCAAAGCTGCTGCTGCACCGGTTGAGATTTGCTGCTGCTGCTGCTGCTGCTGCAGCAAATCCTTTGCAGCAACTGCAGCGCGAGCTGCAGTCCTCAAGTCCAGCAAACTCCACAGCGACTCCTGCTGCTTCTGCTGCTGCTGTTCTTGCTGCTGCTCCTCCTCCTCCTCTCCCTCGTATTTACATTGAGCGTGTGCTGGCGGGGCAGCAGCCAACAGCTGCAGCAACGACTGCAGCAGCAGAGCTGAAGGTTTCTCCTGAACATTGTTGCTGTTGCTGCTGTTGTTGCTGCTGCCGCGTTTCCTGCTGCTGCTGTTGCCGTTGCTGCTGCTGTTGCTGCTTTTGCTGCTGGTGTTGGTGCTGCTTTTGCTGCTGCTGCTCCCGATTCCAGAAGCTTGAAGTGCAGCAGCAGCAGCAGCTTCCCGCTCGTCTTGCTGCAGGCGCTGCAGCACTAGCAGCAGATCTGCTGCTGCTGCTGCTTGTTCTTGGGGAGGCAGCAGCAGCAGCTTCGAGCCAACAGCAGCAAACAGCGCAGCAACCCTCTGTAGTCCAAGGCGTCGCTTCCACCGCAGCAGCAGCAGCAGCTGCTGTCTGGCACCGTGCTGCTGCTGCTGCTGCTGCTGCTGCTGCTGCTGTGTTAGTTCTGTCTGGCTTTCTAATGTATTCAGCAGCAGCTGCTGCAGCCCTAAGGATTCAACAAGAGGCAGCAGCAGCATTTGCTGCTGCTGCTGCACCTCTGGATCGAGTTTATACAAGTTGGCTTCGATCCAGCTACCAAGTGCAGCAGCAAATGACTGCAGCTGCTGCTCTGCTGCAGCAGCAGCAGCACCTGCTCTTGCTGCTGCTGCTGCACGAGATCGCGATGTTAAAGTGCGACGAGATCCAGCAGCAGAAGCAGCAGCAGCAGCAGCAGATCTAGGGGTCTCAGAACTGTGCAGGAGCTGCTGCCCTGCATTCTTCTGTTGCTGGTGTTGCTGATACTGCTGCTGCTGGCGCTGCAGCTGCTGCGCAGACAGCTGCAGCAGCTGCACAGGGCGTTGTGCTTCGGACAGCAGCTGCAGCAGCAGCTCAGTTGCATTAGGAGGCAGCAGCAGCAGCAAATGCTTGATTAGCTGCAGCGCCAATGTGTTCTTCTCTACTGTTGCTTCTGCTGCTGCTGTGGGGTCTGCTGCTACGGGGAGTAACGTCTCCGTTACTGCTGCTGCTCGTGCTGCTGCTGCTGCTGCTTCCTGCACTTGCTGCAGCCCATCAAGACGTCTAGCAGCACTTAATGCCTGCAGCGCTGCCCTCACTAGCTGCTGTTTTCGGGGTGTATAGACAGCAGATGCTGCTGCTGCTGCTGCAGGCTGTATCCCTGTTGCTTCTCCCTCTGTTGCGGCAGCAGCAGTAGAAGCAGCAGCACCAGCAGCTGTTGCTGCTGCTTCTCTTGCTGCTGCTGCTTCCTGTTCTTCTGCTGCTGCTGCAAGCTGTCTTAGTATTGACCTCCTTAGCTGCTCTGCTGCCTGCAGCAAAGATCGTTGTGCTGCTGCTGCAGCATATGTATCTATATACTGTTGTGCTGCACGTACACCTGAATTTTGCTGCAGCGCAGCAGCAGCAGACAGCAGCGACTGCAGCAAACGGATGCCAATCCTATAAGGCAAAACGGAATGCTGCTGCCCCTGCTGTTCCTCCTCCTCTTGCTGCTGCTGCTCTTCCTGCTGCTGCTGCTGCTGCTGCAGAGGCTCCGCCGTGACAGCTGCCTTAACTGCTGCTGCTGCATCAATCAGGGCCCCACACAATCCCTCAAACCATGCAGCATTTGCTGCAGCATAGGGGTCACCTGTGGGTTGCTGCTGTGCGTTTTGTAGCAGTGCAGCACTGCTGCTACCAGTGGTGCGCTTCAATGCTGCCTGGATGACGTCGAGCAGCAGCAGCTGCTGCTGCTGCAGGGAATGCTCCTCCTTTTGCTGTTTCTGCTGCAGCAGCAACGGGGCGAGTTGCACAAAGGCCTGCAGCAGCAGCATTAGGCAGCGCGGCCCCTCCCGTGGCACTAGCCGCTGCTGCTGCAGCTGCTGCGCTGCAGTAGCAACAAAGTCGACTACCGCCTCTCGCAAGGTTGCAGCAGCAGCAGCAATCTCCGAGACGGTTTGCTGTTTATGCTGCTGCTGCAGCAGCAGCTCCTGTTGCTGCTGCAGAACTGCAGCGCCCCATATAGCAGCAGCAATGCTCTGGGTGTTGCAGACAGGCAGCAGCTGCTGCATGCGCTGCAGCAGCGCAGGAACTAGCTGCTGCTGAATTAGCAGCTGCAGCAACACCACCTCCTCTACCTCCTCCTCCTGTTGCTCCTGATGCTGCTGCTGCTGCTGCTGCTGTTGGGTTGGCAGCACTAGCCACCGCAGCTTTGCTAGGGCCAGCAGCACAGATGACGCTTCTGCTGCTTGCAGCTGCTGCACTTGCTGCAGCATGGTGGTGCAGACAGCAGCAGCAAGACGCACATTCCTTGTTGCTGCTGCTATGTCTGCATCCGCAGCAGCAGTCCTTATTGCCTGCTGCTCCTGTCCGATGTCCGCTACTCCTGCTGCTGCTGCTCCTTCTGCTGCTGCTGCTGCTGTGTCACCCTCTTCAGTCATAGCAGCAAGCAAGCGGAATGCTGCAGCAAGCTGCTGCGGCAGCAGCCGCTGCTGCTCGCAGAGTTGCTGCAGCCGCAGCAGCAAGGATTCAATCAGACGGCTCCTTAGAGACAGCAGCTGCTGGTATTTCTGCTGCTGTTCTTGCTGGTGTTGCTGCTGCTGCTGCTGTTGCTGCTGCTGCTGTTGCTGCTGCTGCAGCAGAGGCAAAGAGCCTAGCAAACCGAGCCGCTGCAGTGCCCATAGTATGCGGGTGCTACTGCCGTCAGCACGAGGGACATATGCTGCTGCTGCTGCCAGCAGCAGAAGCATTCTGTCATCCAGAAGCAGCCGCAGCAGCAGCTCCTGCTGCTGCTGCTGCTGCTGCTGCTGCTGCTGCCAGAGAACAGCGAGTTGGTGTAGTGCTGCTGTTATGCTCTTGGGATCCAAGCCGTATAGCGCATCTGCTGCTGTTGCTGCTGCTTTGTCTGCGGCATCCTCCTCTGCTGCTGCCGTTTCTATCCTGCGCTGCTGCTGCTGCTGCTGCTGCTGCTGCTGCTCCTGCTGCTGCTGCTTCTCTCTGTATCGGTTTGCTTCTGCTGCAACGACCTGCAGCACCTCTTCAGCAGAAGTAGTAGCAATGATGGTTCGAAAGCGATCCTTCTCCTGCTGCGCTGCTGCTGCAGCAGCAGCAGCAGCAGAATCTCGCGATGCTGTGTTTGCCGCTCTTAGCTTAGCAGCAGCAGCTGCTGCTGCTACAGGATCCCTGCTATACTGCTGCAACAGCAAAGGCCCAACAGTAACAATGTCCTGCTGCGCTGCAACGCCGTAGTGCAGCAGCAGACGATGGAGAGCAGCTGTCTCTGCTGCTGCTGCTGCTGTAACAGCAGCTGCAGCAGCTGCTGCACCCGCCTCGACTGTCTTGGACGCCCCCTCTGACGAGGTAACTCCTGCTGCTGCTGCTGCAGCAGCAGCTGCTGCTAGGGAGTTCCCTAGCCGCAGAGCCTCGGCAGCAGCAGCAAGTGCTGCAGCAACGTCCTGCCACTCTGCAGCAGCAGCAAGGTCATCAATATCAGCAGCAGCAGCAGCAGACTCCGTGGGCAGCAGGCCGCAACGTGCATGCAGCACATGAAGATGCAGCAGCAACTGCAGGACCGTCTCCTCTTTGTTAAGGGTTTGCTGCTGCAGATGCTGCAGTACAGCAGCACGGCAAGCAGCAGCAAATGCTGCAGCAGCAGCCTGTAAAGACGATGGAGCAGCAGCTGTTGTTGCTGTTGCTATTGCTGTTGCTTCGACTGGGCTGGTGTCTCCCTCCTGCTGCTGCTGTTGCTGCTGTTGCTGCTGTTGCTGTTGCTGCTGCAGCAGCAGCAGGGAATTTACTGCAGCAAGCAGCAAAGGCATCTCCTGTGGCTGCAGCCAATGCAAGTCTGCTGCAGCACACAGCAGCAACTTTTGCATCTCTTCTGTAGAAAATACACAAGGCCTTAGCTCATTAGGCTGCTGCTGCTGCTGCTGTTGCTGCTGTTGCTGCTGCTGGTGCTGCTGCTCCTCCAGCCGAGCGAGCGCAAAGAGGCACTTCGATAGGGCAAGAAATCTGTCCCTTCGCGTCACGCTGTGCAGCCCGTGCTGCTGCTGCTGCTGCTGTTGCTGCTGCTGCTGCTGCTGTTCCCGTGGATCAACGCCCAAGCACGTGCAGACATACTTGCTCAGGCCCTGCGGCACATGCAGCAGAAACAGCAGCAGATAAAGCAGCAGCAGCAATGGTGCATCAACACATGCACCTGCGGCAGTGCTGCAGCAATGCATGCAGCAGCAGCAGCAGCAGCGGCAGCAGCTTACCTCCGTCAACGAGGTGAAGGTACAGCCAAATCGCATGCGAGCAGCGCAGCGGCCGATCGTCACCGCATGCTGCGGCATCAATGGTTCTGCTTCCCTAGCAGCAGCAGCAGCAGCAGCAGCAGCAGCAGGACCAGCTGCAGCAGCTGCTGCTGTTTGATTAAGCTGCTCAGTTGTATGATCAACGAGCTGCTGCATCAGCAGCTTTTGCCGCTGCAGCAAAGGCATTTCATCTGCTGCTCGCCACAAAGAAACTGCAGCAGCAGCAGCAGCAACAACAGCAGCAGCAACAGCAGCAGCAGACGATGTTCTACTAGGCCCGTAAGTAACTCACGCTACCATTAGGGTTTAGGGTTTAGGGTTTAGGGTTTACGTGGACTCACCTAATCCTTCAGGAGTAAGGTTCCATCTGATCTTCCCTTCTTCCCCGCTGCTGCTGTTGCTGCTGCTGTTGCTGCTGCTGCTGCTGCTGCTGCTGCTTATAAGGGGAAACATCAATGCACGCAGCAGCGGCTGCTGCGGCACCAGACGCAGACGGCTAAGACTCCTAAGGGCTGCTGCTGCACCTGGTGCTTCTATAGATGTTCTTTGCTGCTCTAATGCATGCAGCAAGTCCTGCAGCAGCAGCAGCAACAACAACAGCAACAGTAGCAGCAACAGTAGCAGCAACAGCAGCAGAGAGGGTTGCAACAGGTCCGGATGTTGAGGGAGGAACGCTCAAGCTACATGCCGCTGCAGCAACAATAACAGTAGCAGCAGCAGCAGCAGCAACAGCAGCAGCAGCAACAGCAGCAGCAGCAGCAGGTTGTTGTGTCTCACCTTGACTATGGGAAAGCGTGCTATTTGGTTGTGGGGCCTGTGGCCTTGCATGCGTTTGCTGCTGCTGCTGCTGCTGCTGTCTGAAGCAACAGCAGCAAGCTGCTGCAGTGCCCGTAGCAGCACAACAGGTTGCTGCTGCTGCAGCGGCTTCTCAGCAGCAAGACGGTGCAGCAGCTGCAGCAGCTGATCTAACGACCTGCAGCGCGATATCTCTGCTGCAGCAGCAGATCCCTCATTCTCCCATCTCCCTTGCTGCTGCTGCTGCTGCTGCTGCAGTTGCTGGTGCTGGTACTGGTGCTGCTGCCGCTGCTGCTGCTGCTGGTATTGCTGCTGCTGCTGTTGCTGCTGCTGCTGGTAGGGCCTACGCCTCGGGTAGAATGGCTTCAGAAAGCCTCGCTCTTGTCTCCGTTGCTGCTGTTGCTGCTGCTGTTGCTGCTGTTGCTGCTGCTGTTGCTGTTGCTGCTGTTGCTGCTGCTGCTGTTGCTGTTGCTGCTGCTGCTGCTGCTGCTGCTGCTGCTGCAGCTCAGCTTCATAAGAACTCCATATACGGGTAGGAAATTCTTCTGATCTTACAGACACAAAACCTTCCTCGTCTCCCCAAGCTTCTTCTTCCTGCTGCTGCTGCTGCTGCTGCTGCTCCTGCTGCTCTTGCTGCTGCTGCTCTTGCTGCTGTTGCTGCTGCTCTTCTGTCCACAGGTCATCAGGCTGCAGATCAGGCATAGATGTACTGGAGCTGCGGAGGATAAAAAGGTTGCAGCCCTTCTTGCTGCTGCTGCTGCTGCTGCAGCTGCTGCTGCCGTTGCTGCTGTTGCTGCTGCATGTTGCCGAAGGGAAGCTGGCAGCAGCAGCAGCAGCACAAGCAGCAAGCTGTGATGAGCTGACGACCAGCGGTAAACTTCCTTGCTGCTGCTGCTGCTGCTGCTGTGACCTTTGATGCTGCTGCTGCTGCTGCAGCCACCTGCTGCTGCTGCTGAGGGCATTTGGGGTTATTGGCTGCTGCAGTGTACGTACAGATGTACGGTACCCGCTAACAGCAGCAGGAGGCAGCAGCAGCAGCAATAGCAGCAGTAGCAGCAGAGCTTGTGCTGCTGCATGCCTCTGGTGTCGGCGGGCACGATGCCAGAAACACCTGCTGCTGTTGTTGTTGCTGCTGCTGCTGCAGCGGCCTACACGGGCTGAAGAGTCATGCTGCTGCTCAGCAGTGCAGCAGCAGCAGCAACAGCAGCAGCGCAGCAGATTGCTGCTGTACTGCATAGGGCAGCCGCCACTCCTGGCAGCAGCAGCTGCTGCTACTCGTTGCTACACAGCTGCTGCTGCTCTTGCTGCTGCTCCTGCTGCTGCTGGTGTTCCCCTTCCGGTAGCTATTGTAGGCTAAAACCCTGCTGCTGCTGGTGTTGTTCCTGCTGCTGCTGCTGCTGCTGCTGCTGCCTTTCTAAGCAGCTGCACCCGTACCAGCGCGGGTATCTTCTGCTGCTGCTGCTGTTGCTGCTGCTGTTACTACGAGCATTCGCTGCAGCGGCAGCGGCAGCCTAAAGGGAGAAGGCTTGACTGGCTGCTGCTGCTGCTGCTGCAGCTGCAGCTGTTGTCGCTGCTGCTGCTCGTGCTGCAGTTGCTGCTGCTAAGGTTCAATGAATTACATCTGCAGCAGAGCAGATAAATCCCTCTAAAAGAAAGCCAAGCTTATAACCCTAGTTACAAACCCTAAACCCTAAACCCTAAACCATAAACCCTAGACCCTGGGGGCCTCCCGCGGGGGCCCCCAGGGCCCCCTGCCGGGCGAGGCGACTGTGTCTAGGGTTTAGGGTTTAGGGTTTAGGGTTTCTTATATTGCAGCAATAATTCTTTGCTGTAATAACAGAAGAAATTAAAGAAAAGAAAATTAGGGTTTAGGGTTGGTGGGTTTAGGGTTTACTAGTGTTTACTAGGGTTTAGGGTTTAGTGTTTACTAGGGTTTAGGGTTTAGGGTTTAGATTAGTCCCCTTAGCTATCTCTGCGTCTGCATAGAAATATCCCCTAGGGTTTACCATTTAGTGTTTACAAATTAGTGTTTAGGGTTTAGGGTTTACAAATTAGGGTTTAGGGTTTAGGGTTTAGGGTTTGTATAGTAGTAGCAGAGGAGACAGAGACACAAGAGAGACAGGAGATAAAGAAGGGAGAAACTATAGGACAATTAGTCTCCTGGCTTGCAACTGCTGCTGCTGCTCTCCCCACAGCAGCAGCAGCAGCAGCAGCAAAAGTTGTTTGCCCAGTCGCGTACAGCCATCATGGCAGCCACACAAGGAGGAGGAGGAGCAGCAGCTGCTGCTGCTGCAGCAGTAGCGAAAGATCCCCCTTGCTGCAGCAGCAAAAGAAAGCCACAAATTGTAGCTACTCCTTCCCCTACACACCAAGAATTAGCAGCAGCAGCAACAGCAGCAGCAACAGGCGCAACAACAGCAGCAGCAACAGCACCTGCAGAAGTAACAGAGGCGAATGGAGAATCTGCACTGCTGCTGCAGGAGCAGCAGCAGCAGCAGCAGCAGCAACGATTAAAGAGACGAACATATATAAGAAGGTTGCGTCGTTGGCTAAGACTGAAGCTGCTGCTGCTGCTGCTGCATGCGCAGCGCATGCGTCGTGTTTTGCTGCAGCTGCAGCACTGGGGACAGAGGAGACGTATGCGTTTGCTGCTGTTGCTGCAGCAGCAAATAAGAGAGGTACCTGAGCTACGATGGTTGCTGCTGCTGCTGCTGTACCTTGCTGCTGTGCTGCTGCTGTCTGTGCTGTACTTACGCCTTATAGAGCCCCTATGGCAGCACCTGCCTATTAGGCAGCAGCAGCGGCTGCTGCTGCAGCAGCTGCAGCAAGACTATGCAGCAGGTGCAGCATATCTTTCCCCTTTATGGGGGGAGGAGCAGGCAGAGGAGAGGGAGAATTTTGCTGAGTTTGCTGCTGCTGCTGCTGCTGCTGCTGAGAAAAAAATCAACAGCAACAGCAACAGCAACAGCAGCAGCAACAGCAGCAGCAGCAAAAGACTCTTTCTGCTGCAGCTAGTTGTACTTGGAGGACGGGCACAGTTTGCTGCAGCAAGGAGGAAGCAGCAGCAGCAGCAGCTAGATACCTTCTATAAGCAGCAAACACAGTTCGCATACAGTGCTCGTCCTCCTCCTAAGAGCATCAGCAGCAGCAACAGCAGCAGCAGCAGCAGAGAACTAGAAGCAGCCCTCGAGGAGGCAGCAGCAGAAGAAATTGATCTGCGTGCTGCTTTTGCTGCTGCTGTCCGTAACCAGCATCACCAGCTGCAGCAGCAGCAGCAGCATAAGCCGGAGCAACGCCGAACATCTAGCCGAGGCATGCGCATGCAGCAGCAGCAGCAACAGCAGCAGCAGCAGCAGCAGCAGGTGTACGGGCATCCTTGTATGGCAAACGCAGAAGATATAATGGAGAGAGGTAAGGCAGATGCAGCAGCAGCAGTTGCTGCTGCTGCTGCTGCTAAGCGTGTCCGTGAGGTAGAGAGGGAGCTGCGGCTGGAGCAGCTGCAGCAGCAGCAGCAAGAGAAGCAGCAGCACCAACTGATGCAGCAGCAGGTGCTGCTGCAGCACAAGCTGCGGATATCCAAACGTCGTGGGGAAGAAGCGCTGCAGCAGAAGCAGCAGCAGCAACTGCAGCAGGTGCAGCAGCAGCTGCAGCAACTGGAGGAGCAGCAGATGGTAGTTAAGCAGGAGGTTGAAAGATTGGAGCAGCAGCACAATGAATACCGCAAGCAGCAGCAGCAGCAGCAGCAGCAGCACATGCACTTTGCTGCAGCAGAAGAAGCATGGCATGCAGCATGTCTTAGGTTATTTCATAGCAACAGGACATGGCTAGCTTTGCTGCTGCAGCAACAGGTAGCTTACTAAACCTGCTGCTGCTGCTGCTGCTGCTGCTGCAGTTGCTGCTGTTGCAGTTGCTGCTGTTGCAGTTGCTGCTGTTGCAGTTGCTGCTGTTGCAGTTGCTACTGTTGCAGTTGCTGCTGTTGCAGTTGTTGCTGTTACAGTTGCTGCTGCTGCAGTTGCAGCAGCAGTTATATTGTTTCTGTATTTCTGTAGCAACTAACCATTGCTGCTGCACCTCCGCTACATTGTAGGAACAGCAGCAGAGGCAGCAGCAGCAGCAGCTGCTGCTGCTGCTGCTGTTTCTTTAGGCTTTAGAAGGTAAGAAGCGCTAAATAACTAAATAAAAGGAAGCAGCAGCAGCAGCAGCAGCAGCAGCAAATAAGGAGCAGCACAATGTACATGCACCGCATATTCAACACAGCTGCAGCAAAGAGGAAACAGCAGAGGGTTTGTCTCTGCTGCACCTCATTGTTGCTCCTGTTGTTGCTGCTGTTGCTGTTGTTGCTGCTCCAGATGTCTGCCCGCCTGACAGCAGCAGCAGCAGCAGCAGCAGCAGCAGCAGCAGCAGCAGCAGCAGCAGCAACAGCAGCAGCAGCAGACCTTCCTATCCTTCAGCAGTAGCTCTGTATATACGTGTAATAGTCATGCTGTATTTTTCTGCAGCAGCAGCATCAGTTGCTGCTGTTGCTGCTGTTGCTGCTGCGGCCCCACACCTCACCCCACACTATGGTCAGTATAGAAGGACGCATGCAGCTGCGGTGTACAGACACCTGAGCACCGCTGCATGCATACTGCAGCACAGGGACACCGACAGAAGCAGCAGCAGCAGCAACAGCCGCAGGAATAAATGCCCCGCATTGGGATCGGATTTACGGGCACCAGCCAGCAACAGCAGCAGCAGCAGCAGCAGCAGCAGCAGCAAACTAGGCAGCAAAGTCTTCTTAGGGCTTCCTTCTTAGTTGTTATTAACTAAGTTAATTTATATCTATTAGACGCAGCAGCAGCAACTGCTGCTGCTGCTGCAGTTGCTGCTGACGCTCAAGGTGTTGCTGCAGCAGCTTGTAGCGGTAGCTGGAGCTGCTGCTGTCGGCAGCGGCTCCGCCTGGCAGCAGCAGCAGCGGCAGCAGCCGCAGCAGCAGCAGCAGCTGCTGCTGCTGCCTCTTCCATTGTTTCTTTAATTGTATTATCTCTTATAGTTGTTTTGTGTCACTTTTGCCTCTTAATGCTGAGGACTGCTGCTACCGCTGCACCTCGCAGCAGCAGCAGCAGCAGCAGCAGCAGCGGCAGCAGCTTGTGCAGCCAGTTATCCCTCATAACACAGCAGTAACACCCGAAACACCAGCAGCAGCAGCAGCAGCAGCAACGCTGCCAACAGCAGCAGCAATATACAACTGCCCCTTATTGAATGCTTGCGCGCTGCAGCAGCGCAGCAGCAGCAACATTGCATGCTTGGGCAGCAGCAGCAGCAGCAGCAAGAATAGCAGCAGCAACTAATCAGTAATAGGGCTGTGCTGTCTTTTAGGTGCAACAGGGCTTCTGGGTAGTTCGTCTGCCGGCTTCTGTCTTTGCTGCAGCTGCTCTTGCTGCTGCTGCTGCTCCTAGTGCTGCTGCAGCATTCCTTCAGCAGAAATCGCAGCGCTTTGACTATTCTAAGGGACCCATGTGTGGGCAGCATCGGCAGCGACAGC